CATGATATAGGTGTATTTAACACACATGTAGGCAAAATACTCATATGCATAAAATAAATTTTTATATATATATAAGGCTGGGTATATACTATGTCTAGCATGTGTGAGGCCCTGCGTTCAGTCCCCAATAACAAAATTAATAAAAATAAAGCTGGGCACGCCTTTAATCCCAGCACTTGGGAGGCAGAGGCAGGTGGATCTCTGTGGGTTCAAGGCCAACCTGGCCTACGTAGTGAGTTCCTGGCTGGCTGGGGCTACAGTGAGACCCTGTCTCAAAAAAAGACCAAAAAAAATTAATAAATAATCGAGGCCAGCCTGGTCTACATAGGGAATTCCAGGCTAGTCAGGGCTAGCTACATACTGAGACTATGTCTCACCCGTATCCCCCCAAATAAGTAAATAAATAAAATAGGACAGCTACTAGCTACAACTGAAAAAGTAAAATTTTACACTAGTGAGATGACTCAGCAGGCAAAAGCACTTGGAATTTAAACCCGATGATCTGAGTTCAATCTTCAAACCGGTAGTGGAAGGAGAGAACCGACTTCTGAAAGTTGTCCTCAGGCCTCCACAGGCATGCCATGGCACTCTTAGGCCTAAAGTAATACAGATATGCACACGTATACATGCACATGCATACACACACGCACACTAATAATATGTAAAATAAAAATGTAAAAATAGGGGCTGTAGAGTTGGCTCAGTGGTTAAGAGCACTGACTGCTCTTGCAGAGGACCTGGGTTCAATTCCCAGCACCTACATGGCAGCTAACAACTGTCTGTAACTCCAGTTCCAGGGGATCTGACACCATCTGACCTCCATGGGCATTGTACAACATGGGTGCATATACAGGCAATACACTCATACACAAAAAACAATAAAAATAAATTTAAAAAATTGAAAAATATTCAGCTCCTAAGCCATCAGTAAGGAAATGCAGCTTAGATCATTCACACCCTCACAGGAGGGGCTGGAGACATGGCTCAGAGGTTAAGAGCACTTACTGCTGTTGCAGTGGACCCAGGTTTGGTTCCCAACACCCACATTAGGCAGCTTACAACCTTCTGTAACTCTAGCTCCAGGGAGACCTGATGTCTTCTTCTGGACCTGAGGGCATTACACTTACATACACAAACCCACATACAGACAGGCACATATACATATAATCAAAAATAAAGATAAAATACCTTTAAAAGATAAAAGTGGCACACACCTTTAATCCTGGCACTTGGGAGGCAGAGGCAGGGGATCTCTGTGAGTTCAAGGCCAGCCTGGTCTGCATAGTTCCAGGACAGCTGGGGCTACAGGGAGACCCTGTCTCAAAAAGACCAAAAAAAAAAGAAAGAAAAAAAAAAGACCAGAAATAAATAAATAAATGGATAAAGATAAATCTTTAAATAAACCCATCAACACAAGGAGTTCTATTGGACAGAGCTGTTCTGGGGACTGGCTCATAGGCCTCGATATATGTCATTTCTTCTAAATAACAGCAAGGGCATTTTCCTTTTAAAATGCCATCCATGTCTGTTCAGCCCTCGATACGGTTCTATAGTATACTCGAAAGGGTGACAGAGTCTGGTGACTTTGGGGGTGCTCCCGAGACATTCTTGCCCACATTCCAGATGTGTGCTCCTCTTTTCTCTTCACAGGCGGCGATCACACAATCACATATCCCATATTGCAAGCAGTGGCAAAAAAGTAAGTTCCACATGAGGCCCAGGCAAGGTTTCAACATTCAGGAGCTGAGGTCCAGTTGCTAGTTCTTAATAGTACTGGCATTGGGTGCCTACTGTGGCTCAGGTTACTGAGGATGACAGGAAATTCCCCAGTGAGCTGTTTCTGTGACTTGAAACTAAGGCTGGGCTCCAGGTGTCTCTGTCAGTCACCAGCTGGAAGCCAACACACACCTCAGGCCCTCTCCCCTGTCCCAGATCTGCTGTGGGATCTGCATTTTCAGCTGGCCTCTGATCTGGAAGATCAGTCTCTATGAGCCACATAACCTTCAGTTTGCTTTGCCCCACTGGCCAAATACAAGTACTGATACCCCCTAGACTGGTGCTTGCGGAGAAGGCCCTGTTTTTTTCTTTTCCCCCCCAGAGGGCCTTTCCCTGTCTGGACAATGGAGACTGGGTTTTCAGTAGTGGAAGTCCACTCAAACTGAGCAGCTTTAGCTGATTTAGTAGGAGAAAGGGGCTGAGGCAGTAGGTGGGAGTCCAGAATTCATTTTGGGAAGGCACATGGGTAACATCCTGGTTGGAGGTGGTTGGAACAGGTCTGTCTCAAGTTTTGCTGGCCTCCGATTTGGGGGATCATGCAGGGGTGAGGGGGAGGAGGAGCAGGGTCAGAGCAGGTGCCTCAGATGGAGAAAGGGTGACTCACTGGTTTATCCTTCAGTGGGTTCTGCTTTGAGCCACCATCCCTCTGCAATTCTGGGTGCCAGGTGTGGGGTGGCCAGTCACATCTGCTTCTGCCAGGCTCCCCGAGGTGCTAAGTAAACTGAACACAGAAACCAGGTGTGAGGCAGGTGACTGGTGCCGGGACCTTGACCTCTGAGCTGCTGTTTTCTCACCAGGCATGGCCCTGTGGGTCTAGTGCATGTGGGTGCCCACACGAACACAGCTGACAAGGCCCTGGGAGAGACGGTCCATCACCGGGTGCCCTTCCGCCGAAGTGTGGATGAGGGACTGCTAGACTGTAAGCGTGTGGTGCAGATTGGCATCCGGGGCTCTTCCATGACCTTGGATCCCTACAGATACAGCCGGAGCCAGGTGATAGGCAACATCCTCTCCCTTTGTGAAAGTGTTGCTTTCTCAGTGTCAAAGGTTTCAACAGGGGCTGGGTATGGCGGCACAGGCCTGTAGTCCCAGTCCTGAAGGATCAAGAATTCAAGGTCATCCTCAGCTACATCCTGAGTTGTAGGTCAGCCTAGAGACTGTTTCAAAACAAAAACAAAGACACCAAAACAGAGGTGGTGAAATAGCCCAGGGGTAAAGGCACATGCCTTGTTTCTGGGGACCCATATGGTAGAAGGAGAGAATTCCTGAGTTGTCCTCTGACTTCCACACGTACACACCTACACACATGTGCACGCACACACACATACACAAAATAAAAGTCCTGGGGACCCACATGGTAGAAGGAGAGAATTCCTGAGTTGTCCTCTGACTTCCACATGTACACACCTACACACATGTGCACGCACACACACATACACAAAATAAAAGTTAACAGAAAAGGGGCTGGAGAGATGGCTCAGCAGTTAAGAACACTGGTTGTTCTTGCAGAAGACCCGGGTTTGAATCCCAGTGCCCACATGGCAGCTAACAACTGGAACTCCCGTTCCAGGGGATCCGACAGCCTCTTCTGTCCTCTGAGGGCATGGCATGACACAGGCGCACTTATCTACATGCAGACAACACACGCATACACACAAATATAATAAACAAAATATTAAAAAAATTAAAAAAAACAAAAACAGGAAGCAGCCTGGTAAAAAAGGAAATGAGATGCCAAGTTTGAGTCAAGAAAGACGCGGGGCAAAAGTGAGAATATTTTTGTTTTTTTGCTTTTGTTTTTTTCTGTCTTTCTCTCCCTCTTTTCTTTTCTTTCTACAGGGGAAGTCTTCCTATAGCCCCAGCTGGCCTGGAACTCGGTATCTAACCCAGGCTGGCCTTGATCTCACAGAGATCTGCCTGCCTCTGCCTCCTGAGTGCTGGGACAAAAGGCGTGCGCCACCATGCCTGGCTTTTCTTTCTTTTTGAGACAAAGTCTCACTATGTAGCCCTGGCTGGCCTGGAACTCACTATGTGGACCAGGCTGGTATTGAACTCACAGAGATCTACCTGCTTCTGCCTCCAGAATGCTGGGATTGAGGGTGTGTGCTGCCATGACTGGCCGATTTTGTTCTTTATATTTTATGTGTATGAGTGTTTTGCCTACATGTATGTAAGTGTACCATGTGCATGCAATGCCCATGGAGGTCAGAAGAGGGGGTTCGATCCCCTGGAACTGGAGTTACAGATGGTTGTTAGTTACCATGTGGGTGCTGGGAACTGAACCCAGGTCCTCTGCAAGAGCAGCCAGTGCTCTTAACTGATGAGCCATCGCTCCAACCCCACTTTTGTTTTTCTAACTCTATAGCTGAGACTGGCTTGGAACTTAGGCTGGTCAATCCCCTTGCCTCAGTCTCCTGATTCCTAGAGTTACTGGTGTAAGCCACTGTGCCTGGCTCAGGGACGTACTAATGAGGCAGAAGCAGCCTGTCTCTGGGTAGCTGAAAGAAGCAGAAAGCAACCAGTTCCTTGAAGGCTACTGGGCTGGAAGAGATGAGGGTCTGAACCCATGTCTATGATGAATGCCTCTTGGTTTTCATTGTAATTAACCCACCAAGCAGAAGGCTCTGAGGTGGACACAGTTTACGACCACCATGGAAAGACCCTAGTCCTTGCTTTTTTATTTATTTAATTAATTTATTTATTTGTCTTTTGAGACAGGGTCTCCCTGTAGCTCCAGCTGGCCTGAAACTCACTATATAGACCAGGCTGGCCTTGAATGCAGAGATCCTCCTGCCTCTGCCTGCTGGGACTAAGGGCATGTGCCACCATTCCTGGCTGCTATTTTTATTTTTTAAATTAGTTTATTATTTATTTATTTATTTATTTATTTATTTATTTATTTATTTTTGGTCTTTTTGAGACAGGGTCTCCTTGTAACTCCAGCTGTCCTGGTACTATGTAGACCAGGCTGGCCTTGAACTCACCGAGATCCACCTGCCTCTGCCTCCCGAGTGCTGGGATTAAAGGTGTGTGCCACCACGCCTGGCCAAAACACCCTTTTTAAAAACAATGGTAATTTTCGTTAAAACTCCCAGTTTAAAATAATTTTCATTGATGTCTGCGTTTCATTAATCCAATATGAAAGTGCACCACATGTGTGCAGTGCCCACAGAGGCCAGAAGAGGGTGTTGGAGCCCCTGGAACTGGAGTTATGTATGGTTAGGCACCATGTGGGTGCTGGGCATCAAACCTGGAACCTCTGGAAGAGTAGCAAGTGTTCTTAACTGCTGAGCCATCTCTCCAGCCCAGCTTTATTATTTTTAAAATTTTACTTTATTTTAAATCATATTTATTTATTGTCTGTGTATGTGTGCATGTGAGAATGGGTGTGCACATGCCATGGAGGGCTTGTGGAGGTCAGAAAACAACTTGTGGATTTGCTTTTCTCTTCCACTGTGAGGGTCCCAGGGATTAAACTCAGATCATCAGGTGCAGTAGCAAGTGCCTTTACCCACTGAGCATCTCACCAACCCAGTACCTTGCTTTTAGAGTGTGCCAAGGCCAGTGTCCTGGACAGAAGCATCTAGAGGCATAAGTGACCAAGTTCCTTACCCTTGCTTTCAGCAGAGATCCTTTCTGATCCCAACCCCCATACCAACTTTGACCGTGCTTCCTTACTTTACCTGTGTGCAGACTGTAGCTCCCTCATGGAAGTTGAGGGTCAGATGTACTGTGCAAGTGAGGAGCTCAGCTTGGGGTTGGCTTTGACCTCTGGCTCCTTGATTATCCCCCCTGCTCAGGGCTTCCGGGTGGTCCTGGCTGAAGACTGCTGGATGAAGTCACTGATTCCTCTGATGGCGGAGGTCAGGCAGCAGATGGGGGGCAAGCCGCTTTACATCAGCTTTAGCATAGATGCTTTGGATCCTGCCTATGCCCCAGGAACAGGGACACCCGAGATTGCTGGGCTCACCCCTAGTCAGGTAAGTAGGATTCCCCAGTGGATTCCTAGGATGTGGATTCTTAACACTACAGTTTCCTGGCCTTTGTAGAGTCTTCAAGAATCAGGGGCTCCTTTTTCCCCCACAAGGTCTCACTCTATAGTAGTTCAGGTTTGCCTAGAATTAACTATGGAGCCCATGCTGGCCTCTAATTTACCTTCTGACTGCTAGGATTATGGGCAGCACCAGGATGAGATTTTATTTTATTTTTTGTCTTTTTGAGACAAGGTCTCCCTGCAGCCTCAGCTAGCCTGGAACTCATTATGTAGACCAGGCTGGCCTTGATCTCACAGAGATCCACCTGCCTCTGCCCCCCAAGTGCAGGACTAAAGGTGTGCACCACCACACCTGGACAGGATAGGATTTTAAAGGCAGAGCAACTAAGTGTGTCCAAACTGTGGCTGGCAGGCTACATGCTCCATTTGGCTAAGGGTAGCTATGGATGCAGTCCTACACAAAACTGTAAACTTACTTAAAACACTAAGAAATTAAAAAAAATTTTTTTAAAGCAACACTTTAATATTTAACATTTTATTTTTATTATATGTATGAGTGTATTACCTGCATGCATGTAAGTACACCCATGTTGTGTAGTGCCCTCAGAGGTCAGAAGACAGCAGCATTGGATCCCTTGGAACTGTAGTTACAGATGGTTGTTAGCTGCTATATGGATGCTGGGAACTGAAATTCTGTCCTCTGCAAGAGCAGCCAGTGCTCTTAACCACTGAGCCATCTCTCCAGCCCCCAATATTTTTATTTTTGAAAAAAATTCTATGTATGTGGGATTGGAAAGATGGCTCAGCTGTTAGCAGTACTCGTTGCTCTTCCACATGGCAGCTCACAACCATCTATAGCTCCAGTTCCAGGTGACCCAATGCCCTCTTCTGGGCTCTGTGGGCACCAGACATGCAAATGGTGCACTTACATACATGCAGGCAAAACATACACATAAAATTTTTTTTTTTGGTCTCCTTGAGACAGGGCCTCCCTGTAGCCCCAGCTGGCCTGGAACTCGCTATGTAGACCAGGTTGGCCTCAAACTCAGAGATCCACCTGTCTCTGCCTCCCAAGTGCTGGGATTAAAGGCAGGTGCCCCAATGCCTGGCTTCACATAAAAGGTTTTTTTGGTCTTTTTGAGACAGGGTCTCCCTGTAGCCCCAGCTGTCCTGGAACTCACTATGTAGACCAGGCTGTCCTTGAACTCACAGAGATCTGCCTGCCTCTGCCTCCCGAGTGCTGGGATTAAAGGCATGCGCCACCACGCCCAGCTAACATAAAATTTTGTTGGACGTGTGGGAGTATGTTCTTGGGGCTCATTGTAGGTTGTTGGCGTCTCAGTGATGAGGAACTGGTTTGAGCCAGGACTTTCATATCCGTTGCTTTTCTACCTGTTTTGCAGTGCCAGGGATTAAACCTCACACAAGCTAAGCAAGTGCTCTGTGACTGAGCAATGTCACCATCCCAAGGGCTCTTATTTCTTTGGGGTATGAGTGCCCTTTCTTACTTTCTACCTCTTGTGCATTCCCATCTCCAAAACAAAACACACTGCTTAGGGTTAAATTTGCAAAGCACATACACGGGGATTGACTACCTACCATGGTGGCTCAAGAGTTTGAGAGTCGAGCTCTGATGAGATCCAGGAGGGCAGGGCCTTTCATCTGCCTATTACCCTGGCCTTAGAGCCTAGGACCCTGCATGATATACAGACAGTAGGTAATCCAAGATGTGGTATGTGAAGACTGCTTTAACCTAGTCAGTGTCTAAGAAAGGATGGTCATAATTACTTTCTCACAGTCATTCCCAGGCCTACTAGAGGGATTTCTGGAACAATTCTCAGCCCTCTGCTTTTCAGCTGCAGGTTAGAAACCTCTGTGGACAAGGTGACTGCCTTCCTACTGTCCCAGCATCCTGTCTTTGGGCCATATCCAGTGCTTGCACTGACTTGTCACAGTGCCTATTTGAGTCTCTGCCTGCCATGCCCTTCATCTGCTGGGCCAGTCCCCTGAACTGTTTGTACCAGGTAGCCTCCCCCATGTGCGCATGCTGTTTCCTGTGCTTTTGATATCGGGGGCTTGTCTCGAAGCCCTTAACAGGACATCACACTGACTGATGTGCTTGACTCTGCCGTCACACCACAAGGTCCCCAGGAGAGGGGCTGTGCACTGTTTCTCTGGGAGGCCTACTGGTGTGGCTGTGGCCAGCACAGGTCTAGGTCAAGGCTAAGTATCTCTTGCATTTCATTGTCATTGATTGTTACTTTCACCCTGGACAGGCTCTGGAGATCATCCGGGGCTGTCAAGGCCTGAATGTGGTGGGCTGTGATCTCGTGGAAGTTTCCCCACCGTATGATCTTTCTGGTGAGTAAAGAGAAAAACTGATCCACAGACAGCTGCTAGTTTAAATTGTATTCATCTAGTTAGTAAGTAGAAATGGCTAGGTCTGCTTGTTAGACTTGGGGACCCTGCTGAGGCTGTCCAACGGCAAAAAGAACCATGTTATCGCACACCTGACAAGCATGAGCTAATGAACCTGAACTGAACCCCGGGGAGGGGGCCAGGTATTGTTAGTGAAGAGAGGCAGAAAACAGCCTGCTGTTTATCCACCACAGGGTGGCTCAGTTCCAGGCTCCTTTGAATTTCATTGACAATCTGCATGTTTATGTAAAGTAGGGAGCTGCAGCAGCTAACCCTGAGCAGATGCTGACCCAGTAATTATAACAGAAAAAAAAACAAAACAGTTAGGCCTAGTGGCCTCAGAGGGTAGACGGTGAACACAGCACTTGCCATTTGTATAGATTCTGCCTCTGAATTTTCTCATACTGTGTCCAAATGATACTTGGGAGGTCGAATGTGTTCTCACAAGTGGATGACATCCAGAGTTCAGAAGTCAGGGATCTGGGAAGGGTAAGGCTGGAGTCCTGGGAGGCTGGGCTTGGGAAGAGTGGGTATGTGAAGTTCTTAAAGCGTTTGCTCCTTCCTAGGTAACACGGCCCTCTTAGCTGCTAACCTACTGTTTGAGATGCTGTGTGCTCTCCCCAAAGTGACAACTGTCTGAGTCTGTGTTCTTCGAGATAAAACAGACTCTCATGGACAGGATCTCAAGGATTTGTGAGTGAACAGTTTGAGTACTGGAGTTTACTCCAGTAAAGCTTCCTTCTGTCATCAGTGGCTCTGAAGTAAGGACATTCAGAACTTTAACCCAAGCAGCTCCTGTTTCTTAGGAGAGATGCTTACTTAAAAGTAGTAGCTCCAGGTACAGTGGTGCGCCCTGGTGAGTGCCTGCAATCCCAGCACTTGGGAGGCTGAGGATTGCCACAAGGTTAAGGTTAATCAAGGCTATTCAGCAAGATTGCAGGACTGTCTCAGAAGGTCAAAATAAACAAAACCACCCCCATTTATGCTGCTTTTCCCTTTGATGAAAGATGGTAGAGGGTGAAGGAGACGGGGATGGAGAATTTCATTCAAGGAGATCTAAAATGAAAGGAATAAAAAAAAAAAAAAGCCTTGTGAGATAATACTATACAAATATTCCATATGTCTACAGTGGTTTTCTTTTTTTGGGGGGGTCTTTTTTTTGAGACAGGGTCTCCCTGTAGCCGCAGCAAGTCACTATGTAGACCAGGCTGGCCTTGAACTCACAGAGATCCGCCTGTCTCTGCCTCCCAAGTGCTGGGATTAAAGGTGTGCGCCACCACACCCGGCTGTGGTTTTCTTTTTTAAAAAAGATTTTTATGGGGCTGGAGAGATGGCTCAGTGGTTAAGAACACTGGTTGTTCTTGCAGAAGACCTGGATTTGAATCTCAGCACCCACATGGCAGCTAACAACTGTCTGTAACTCCAGTTCCAGGGGATCCGATGGCCTCTTCTGACCTCCACGAGCATTGCATGACACAGGTATACTTAACCTACATGCAGGCAATACACACATACACATAAAATAAAATATTAAAAGATTTTTATGAGTGTTTTGCCTGCATGTCTGTGCGCCACCTGCAGGCAATGCCCACGGAGGCCAGAAGGGGTCATCAGATCCTCTGGAACTGGAGTTACAGGTGGTTTTGAGCAGCCACGTGGGTGCTGTGAATAGAACCTAGACCCTTTGTAAGGACTGAGCCATCCCTCCAGGCCCTGCAGTGTCTTTCTTTAGTTCCTCTGGGGAGCTTAGGGCCACATCTTGGTTTTAGGGCCACTGTGAACATACACAAAAAGAAAATAGCTTGCAGATCCTAGTAAGGAGATGTACAGTTCCAAGACCTCTAGGTGGGCATGGTGGGTCCCAGCAGGGATCTCAGCACTTGAGAAGCTGAGACAGGGGAACTGATGTGAGTTTGAGACCAGCCTGGTATACAGAGTAAGATGATCTGCCTTTCACTTCAAGCAAGACAAAGAGGGTGTGCAAAATGTCTTCTAAACTAGACACAGTCAGCTAGGTCCTTCCTGAACCTTCTAACCTTCTCCTTCTATGACTCAGTTTTGCATCATCTACACACATTTGGCTCACGAGATCTGCTGTGATTGTAAGCATGTGTTGAGTGACATGCAAATTCTGTTGAGAATGTGTCTGGGATCAATTTTTCTTACAATGTAAGAGGTACCCCATAGCCATCACGCATTAAAATAGTTTATTTGTTTCCAGTCCATAGTAGTCTTAAAATAACATCAGCTTCAGTGTCTGTTCACAATACAAAAAAAGGACAAAAAACCGAAATAAAAACAAAACTGAAAGAAAAAACAAAAAACATAGAACATAAAAAGACACTATTTGCCAAATAATTTATTTTTTCCTAATAGTATCAAAAGTGCAAAATATTCACCCTCCTCTCAGATCCGAACATGCAGATTCTGCAACTGCCACACTGCACGCAAGGCGATGGCAGGTATGTGGACACACGCTATGCTCCATCCAGGGAGGTTTTCTACACCTACTTGCTTACTTTCTGGTGCTAGGATCAAAGAATGCAGGGCCTCATACGTGCCAGGTGTTTTGCCACGGAGCTACACCCTGACCTCTGCATCACTTGTTTTAGATTTTCTGATAGGGTCTCATGTAGCCCAAGCTGGCTTCGAACTTGCTCATGCTAAGGACAACCCTGGACTCCTGATCCTCCTGTCTCTACTTCCTGAGCGCTGGGATTGCAGGCACGTGCTACCACATCTGGCTCCCTGCAACAGCTTTTAAGGGATTTTAATTATTTTTTCCTCATTGTTGGGGATCAAGCCCAGGGGCTCACACAGTCTAGACAAATGCTCTGCCACTGAACTACAGCCCCAGCCAGGAATTCTACTTTAAAAAAAGAGGTCAAGTGCTTGCATGTAATCCTTAGTGCAAACAAAGCAAATGGGTCAGATAGTTTTTTAAGGTGTGGGCAGTGATGGCAGCTACAAATCAATCAGCATTAAGCAAAGGCTGCAAGTTTGAAGAGGCTGTGAATGAGGAGACATCCTATCTGAAAACCACAACCAAGTTCTCTAGGGCTGTGGCTGGCTGTGTCCAGGAGGCACATACTGAAATGTTTAGTAGGTGCCTATCAACTGGGGTAGACAGACAAACTACAGCTAAGACCTGAGCAATAGTCATCTTTGAAGCTGGCATGTACTCTACACTCACTTTAGGTTAGTTTTCACCCCACCTACTAAACATGACTGATGCGTAGGCTGCCTTGAGCAGACCCCATCTCTTCAAACAGCATCTCAACTGAAATCGGGTCCTGTGTGATCACATACATCAGAAAGAGAAATCTTGGCATTTGGATGAGCATAAAAATAGCTCACATTTGACACAAAAATTAAAACAATTCATGGAAACAACATTGAGGAGAAATGGCTTGCTCGACAAAGGTGGCTGCTGTGGATGCCTGTAGTTCCAGTACTCAAAGACTGGAGCAGGAGGACCTTGAGTTAGAGGCCAATCTGGGCTACATAATGAGACTCTGTCTCAAAGTAACCAACCAACCCATCAGAGCACCCTAGAGTGTCTTCCTGGTGGACATATCTACCAGTCCCTAAACAGATCTTCAGAGTTTCTGGACTGAAGTATTTTCCAGGAATACTGCTGGCTCAATCACCACTCCTTTCCTACAACCACAACCGGATGGCGTGGCAGCCAGCCTGACCATGCCTTTTATCTTATTTGCATAAATTAAAACAACAACAACAACAGATATCTAGGGAATTTTTGGTTTTCAGAAACTAAGTCATGGAATTTCATCGAATTTAAAAAATAAAAATCACTGAATCAAAACAGTCCTCATCAGAGGACCCCCGGCCATACAAACACACAGAAAGAAAACAAACTATGTGTGTATTCACGTGATGCCAGGGAGAGTGCTCAGGGCTTTGCATGTGCTGGGCAAGCGCTCTACCCTAGAGCCGCATCCTCAGCCTTCAAGATGGATTTTTGAGGACTGCGGAATGGAGGCGACAGATGACTCTAGCTGGTCCAGGTGCCATGAGCAGCAGTGTCCAGTTGGCATCTACTTGGTGGGATGGAAGAATGAAGCTGGCAGTGATTTCGTCATTTTTTAATAAAGCTGTAGACTCTGAAAACTACACAAATTCCTGGGCTCAGATAATTTATCACTTACCACTGGAGCTCAATGTTTAAATTATTCAGGATCCAAGTCGCTTGGTTCAAAGCATTTATGATAAAAGAAATAGTAACTTAGTAAATGTCCTGTCCCTGATTTTTGCCCTTCACTTCACAAAAGGGCACTTGCTTGATAGTAGAACAGATTACACTTGGAAATTGTCCAAACGCCCCTGGTGGCTCAGCCCTAGAAACAAAGGGTATGCCCCCTAGTGGGCTGACATGGTCAGGTGTGGAGCTGTGGTGGGGAGAGGAAGGCGGGAGGGAGTTGATGGTCTGACCCCCCAGCACTGAAGCAGTGACAAGGGAAGAAGGAACCGATTAAGCCGAGACACCAAGATGCAGGCCAGAAGTGGGAAGCCAGCTGTCAGCAGAACAGGACTCTAGAACAAGTCTCAGCTCAACGGTCACAGAAATGACTTCAAGATTCAGCACTTTGGGGGCAACAATGTTCAAAATGCAACTGTCAGAGAGGTTAAGTTCCTTGATATGAGGACGTACCTGGCATTTTACTAGAGAGCCAGTGTGGGAGGGGAGGGCTCCTCCACCTGGCTGCTGGCAGGCAGGCCCACGGTCTTCAGTCTCACATCTACAGGCTTTATAGCAGCTACGTTCAGAGAACAAGATCACAAATTATGGCTCCTAATATCCATCTTCTAAAACTGATGGAGGCAGAAAGGCATCTGAAAACAGGTCAATGGTTCGAAGTCATTATAGTGCTTCTTGCTGGGCAGAATCTGCCCTGGCTGTGGTGGTGCTTTGGGTGGGGGCATGGTGAGGAGATGGAGACAGGGACAGGGACAGACAAGAACGTTCATGAAGGATCACAGGTTGCATCACTCTAGTCAGTGCCCTTCACTTGAAGAAAAACCAAATATTTATGCCAAACTCCCCACTCAGACCCTTTCAAAACCTGGCTGGCCAACTTTCGTGGGGGATACCCCCAAAACGGACTTCTCACCTGCTCCCAGGAGCAGCAGTCCCAAGTAAGGCTGCAGGGAGCTAGGCGTCTCTCAAAGATGGAGCCTAGAAGATGTGGTGGCCTGTCCCTGTGCCTTGGCAGAAGCACAGCAGGGGCCTGGTGGGGAGCCTGAGGCAGGCAACAGGGCAGGAGTGAGTGACCCGCCCGGCTGACAGGCTCACGAAGATCCTGAGGTTCTTCCAGGCACAGCTCAGGGTCAAGCCCTGGGTTTCTCCAACAGAAGGGACAGGACAGCGTAGTGTGAGCATGTTACAGGGATAGCGAAGAGGAGGGGATGAGCGGTCCGTTTTAAATAGTGCGGCATTCTTACGGGGATGAAAAAACCCAAAGGAAAACAGTTCATCTAGGGAATTCAAACCTGTGCTGCGCTTCACTCCTAGGTGACAAAGGAAAGAGCTTCTAGCCATTGTTCTAGAAGAGGGTCTAAAATCTAAACTCTCCCGAAAATCTCTGTTCCTGGGGTGTGTCAAAAATCTGAAGAGTTCACATCTCTTTGGAATCGTCAGTCTAGCTCAGGCCAGGACGGGATGTAAAATCTCTGTAAGGATCCTTCCAGCAGGCGCTCCATCCACAAGGACAGCTTGCTCAGCTTGCCTTTGAGGGGCTTGGGTCCCAGGCCACAGGAAGACTTCCCCCGAGACTCGCCAAGGTCACCCCAGGACCCCACAGTCTCTTCCTCCTCCACTGGTTTTTGGGGCTTGAAAAGGCAGAAGTATTTCTTGTGGCCGTTCAGGGCGAGTACGTAACCAGTGTAGTCCCGTTCCATGAAATGCTTGTCATACTGATTTGGGATTGGGGCTGCGTCTTGAGCAAATTCTAGTAAGTATTCCAGCCACTCTCTGTGTTTGTCCAGACTCAGGAAGGAGAAATGGAGGCAGCTGCTTCTGCAGGAAGATCAGACAGGGAATTCAGGGTGGTCCTGGCACAGTCAACTGCAGGAACTTAAATACCACAGCCAGACTTGAAAAGATATGAAAAGCCTGTTTGGCTGAAGCTACAATTCAGAAGGAGTTGGGAATTCTGGGAGCTTGTGGGTCCCTGCCATAGCAACATCGCCTTACTCAGCCACTCCCACCTGTCACGCCCAGTGACTGGCTTCTGGAACGTACTCTGGGACAGGGAGTATTGGCAGTAACACTGAGCTCAAGCTCTCCTGTTCAGAACCAACGGGACATGAAAGTCAAGTGTGGGCTGGTCTGGAGGTGCAGTTCTGCAATGCTTAGCAGGATCCCTCTCAGTCTTGAGGCCATCCTGGACTACAGACCAAGGATCAGATTAGCCAGGAATACATAGCCAAAATCCCATCTAAAAAAAAAACCCAACTAACCCCTCCCCCAAATAAACAAACAAACAAAAACAAAAAGGCAAAAGAGAAGAAGGAGGCTACAGAGATGCTCAGTGGTTAAGAGCTCTAACCCCTCCCCCAAATAAACAAACAAAAACAAAAACAAAGGCAAAAGAGAAGAAGGAGGCTACAGAGATGCTCAGTGGTTAAGAGCTCTGAGTGCTCTTGCAGAGGACTCAGGTTTGAGTCCTAGCACCCACATGGTGGGCTAACAACCATCTATAAATTCAGTTCCAAGGGATCTGACACTGTCTTCTGACTTCTGAGGGCATTGCATGACATGAATATACTTATACACGTGTAGGCAATACACTCATACACATAAAAATAATATTTTTTAAAAATGTATTTTAAAATATTATTTTAAAAAAACTTTTTTTGGGGGGGTCTTTTTGACACAAGGTCTCCCTGTAGCCCCAGCTGTCCTGAAACTCACTATATAGACCAGGCTGTTCTTGAACTCAGAGAGATCTGCCTGCTGGGACTAAAGGTGTACACCACCATGCCTGGCATTCCCTCTTTTTTTAAATGCATACACACATACACCCATGATCACATGTATACCTACCCAGTAAATGTATAAACTTCCAAAGCAAATTTCTGCAGCAGGCTGGTCTTAGTGGAGTTTGACAGGATGAGGACGACATTCATATGGCCTGGCCTCAGGCGTACCAAGTTGCTGGTGTATGTCACATCTGTGAGTTCAGTTACCTCCACAAAGCCTTTTCTAGGAATCTTGCTGTGGAGAACATCGAGGAGTTAAGATATTACCAGAACAGGAAGAATGTCATTACTTTAAGAAACTAGTGCAAGTGAGGTATGGTGGCTGTGCTGCAAACCCCAACAGATGGAAGGTGGAGGCAGGAGGAAGGCCTCAACTATATAGTGAGGTTGATGCCAGCCCGGGCTATGAAACAAACATACAAACTCCCAATGACAACAACAAAAAAACAAGCAAAAACCAAACCAGTGGCACAGAATGCTGCATCTGGCCAGATGGATATGTGATTTAACATTGGCTCTGACAGCTGGCAGGACGGGGTATCTGACTCCAAGGGGGACGCTGACCTGCAATTTCCCTGGCCTGCAACTGCCCCGGCCTAAAGCTGACCAGGCCTGCAACTACCCTTGCTGCTTTTCAGCTGGTACAAAGTTGGTAGGTCAGAATGGAGGAGGCGACGGCAGCTGCCTTTTGTCTCCTAGTCCCTTGCTGGTGGTTGTGTGCTCTAGAATGATCAAGTTTCAAGTTTGGGGACATGCTGCTGGTCTTCTGGCTCATTTATCTCTTCCCTCGAGTTTTCTTCCTGCTTCATTACTGAAGCTCAGGGAGGAACTGAAGTCACAGGGCATAGGTGAGTCAGTCCTGTATCTATGTGTATGGTGGATTTTGGTCAACACTAGTTAGGAGTGATTTTTTTTTTTTTTTTTTCCTGAACAAGTTGAGTATCCCTTATTCAAAATGCTTGGGAGAGGGCTGGAGGGACAGCTCAGCGGTTAGGAGCATGAACTCTTCCAGAGGGCCAGAGTTGGGTTCCCAGCACCCATGTGGGGCAGTTCACAACTGCCTGTAGCTCCAGCTCTGGGGGCTCTGGCCTCCTCAGGCAAATGCATCCATGATGTGCACATACCCACACTCAGACACACTGACACACATCCAATTAAAAAAAAAATCTCAAAATTTTCATATTCTAGAATATTTGCAAACACGTAATGAGATATCTCAGGGCAGGGATCCAAGTCGAAACACGGCCTTTATGTCTGTTTCCTATACCTCAGACTGAAGGTGACTTCACATATACTCACTGCACCTGCACTGTGACTGTGATTCATCCTATGAGATACAGAACCTTTTAGGTGTGGTGTTATGTTGGCAGAAAGCCTCAGGCTTTGAGTTATTCTCCTGTGTCTACCTCACACACAGAGGAGTGAAGTCCTCTACACCATCCATCCCACATAGAGAAGGGGAGTCCTCTCGTCCTCTCTATATCATCCATCCCACACAGAGAAGGGGAGTCCTCTCTACACTATGCATCTCACACAGAGAAGGGGAGTTCTCTACACCATCCATCCCACATGTTCTATGAGGCTGAGGGGTTGGAGGGTGGTGTGTGCTGTGTTACAGAAACCTGCTGCTTTCTCTCATGAAACTCGGCTCAGTCTTCCCCATCTTCTCAGGAACTTCTTCTTTGTCTGGAGGGTGTGACTCTCGTTCCTCATTTGAGTCGCTAAAGAATGAAAACAAGTTTTACAAAAAAAGGGCACAAACAACCATGGGGGCCGGGGCTCCCCTTGATGGCCTGGCTTACCTGAAAGCCTGGACGATGACGGTGCCGAAGAGGATGAAGAGGGCGGAGAAGATCAGGGACAGCAGGGGCATCATCTCCCGCCTGAAACCAAAGGTGTAGCTGGGTTAGCACCACACCTGCTAGGATTTGGGGTCTGTCTCTCCATCCCAGAGAGAAAAAGGTCCAAACCAGCAGCCTTTCACACCAATAAACCCTATCACAAAGACAGCTGTCTCTGGGGTGAGGAGGGGGCTTGTTTCCTCAGGGTCCTGGTTCACAGACTGTATTCTGGAGGGCTTGTTTTGTATCCCATTATAGCAAGCTGTGTCTAATACACTTGAAAGAAGGAAATGAAGGACTCGAGCTGTAAAGGGAAGAAACAGGGTGTTGGTGGCCGGTGTATAGAATGACTGCAATTTTACTCATTCTTTTATGGCCAGAATAATCAGAACCACCCTCCAACCCCAGTTTGCACCTGGTGTTCTAGAATTTTGTTCACTGCCCCCAACCCCCCAAATCAACACTGGGATTTTTCAGGTACCATGCAGAGTGAAAGGAGTCACAAATGCCAATGGATGTGACTCTGCTTGTCAGGAAGGTCTTTATTGGGGTGGGAATGGGACATTCCTAGACACATCTGTGCACCTACACACTGGACTCCACGTGTGTCAGGTCCAGTGCTGCGCTCCAGACACACCTTGAAGAAGGGGGACAATCCCAGATCTGCTGACTGGAAGGCAGCTGGGTGACCCTTTCCCAGCCAGCAAGGAATTAGTCAGCAAACATAAAAAAGAAAGAAACAAGCTGGACGTGGTGGTACATACCTTTAATCCCAGTACTTGGGAGGCAAAGGCAGGCAGATCTCTGTGAGTTTGAGGCCAGCCTGGTCTACATAGTGAGTTGCAGGCCAGCTAGGGCTATAGGGAGATCTTATGTCAAAAAAACCAAAAAAAAAAAAAAACCAAACAAACAAACAAAAAAACCAGGAAACACCACTGGGCATGTGTGAACACGTTCCCATTGCCTGTATCGGGTATACACTGGCATCCAAGGTAACAGAGAAAAGAAATCGTGACAGAATTCCTACCAATTGCTGTGAAACACACTATCCCAGCAGTCTGTGAGGTACTCAGAAGCAGAGTAGAGCCACCGGAGGAGAAAAACCTATTTGGAGAGGAAACAGGTGGTGGTCAGGGCTGAGCCCCTGATGGAGGCCCCACAGTCTCCCTAGGAAAGCTCGTATGAGCCCCTGGTCTGCTCCTGGTAGAAATCAGACCTATGGTGTCCAGCCCTGTGAGCCCAAGCCCTCCTGGTGGCCCACCCTCCCGACTCTGATGCTCACAGGGGCAAGTTCATCGGTCAGTTCGGGAAGCACAGCTTCCGAGGACAGAAAAGCTGGATCTTTCCGAAGTTGGTCGAGATAACCCAAAAGGATAAATTTATCATTCTCACTGCCAGTCCAGGGATCTCCCAGGGTTTTAAACACCACACGCCCAGCTGTGTTGCGCCTTTCTAAGATAGATACCTGAGAGAAAAAGAGAAAAAGCATTAAGAGTCTAAAAAGCAATGAGTCTCGGGAGGTTGAGGCAGTAGGATCAAGAGTTTGAGCCCCACCTTCAATCCAGCACTTAGGAGGCATAGGCAGGGGGATCTCTGTGAGATCGAGGCCAGCTGGGGCTACAGGGAGACCTGTCTCAAACAAACAAGCAAACAAACACCCCAAAAAACACAAAAAGGAGATGGAGAGACAGCTCAGCTGTTAAGGGCACTGGCAGCTCTTGCAAAGGATCTAGGTTCAGTTCCCAATACCCACATGGAAGCTAATAACGCTTCATAACTCCAGTTCGAGAGGACCTAACACCCTCTTCTGATCCCCCTGGGCATTGTACAACATGGGTGCACTTACATGCATGCAGGTAATACACTCATATACATAAAATAATAAAAAAACAAAAAATATATAAAAAAGAGTTTGAGCCCAATCTGGGCTGCATTAATGAGACTTTGTATCAAAAAAAGTGAGCTACAGTGGTTAAGAGCACTGGCTGCTCTTGCAGCGGGCCTGCGTTCAGTTCCCAGCACCCACATGGCAGCTGACAATGGTTTGTAGCTCCAGTTCTAGGGGATCCGAAGCCCTGTTCTGGTCTTCGCAAGCATGGCAAGCATGTACGTAAGCTGCACTCACACACATGCAGACAGAACACTCATACACATAAAAATAAAGTTTAAGAAGTGTAAGCTAGGGGATGGAGAGATGGCTCAGCAGTTAAAAGAGCACTGGCTGCTCTTGCAGAGGACCTGGTAAGGTCCCAGCACCCACATGGTAGCTAACAACTGTCTGTAACTCCAGTTCCACAGGATCTGATGCCATCTTCTGACCTGCACAGGCACTGTACAACATGGGTGCACTTACATATATGCAGATAACACACTCACACACATGACAATAAATAACTGTTAAGCACAGTTCCTTGCATTTTTTAGGGAAGATGCATAAAAGGGCCTCATGCAGTCAGCAATTAAGCGCAAACACAAATACTGACAAACTTACAACATCTGTAAGAAATTTTTGAAATTTTTCTGGGAAAGAGAATTATTACTACTATTATTTACTTTCTTCCTATGTAGCCCAGGCTGGCCTTAAATTCATTATGTAGTTCTGAGGCTGACCCTGAACTTGCCTCCTCCTCACCACACCTGATTTATACTGTGCTGGGACTTTGTCATGCTACACAAGCTCTCTACCAACTAAGCCATATCTTTTTTTTTTTTGTCTTTTTGAGACAGAGTCTCCCTGTAGCCCCAGCTGTCCTGGAACTCACTAGGTAGACCAGGCTGGCCTTGAACTCACAGAGATCCACTTGCCTCTGCCTCCCAAGTGCTGGGATTAAATGGTGTGCCACCATGTCCGGTCAACTAAGCCATATTTTAGCCCAGGAATTATTATCACATTGTGAGATAGGTCTCTCTGCTTCTTTTTTTTTTCCTCTTCTTTTGAGGCAGGATCTCACTATACAGCCCTGGTGCCCTGAAATTCTATGCAGACCAGACTGTGCTAGTCTTGATCTCATAGAGATCCACCTGCCACTGCCTCCTGAATGCTGGGCTTAAAAATGTACACCACAATGTCTGGCAGGATGAGTCTTCTTACATTAACTAGGTTGGGCTTAAACTCCTAGGCTGAAGAGATCCTCCGACCTCAGACTCCCTGAAGCTTATGTAGCCCAGTCTGGCTTCAAACTTCCTGATCTCTTGCCTCCACTTCCTGAGTGCTAGGACCGCAGTGTGTACCACCATACCTGACAAAAGTAATTATTTTTATGTTGACTTTCAAAACTTCTGTTAAAAGTCCAAGCTCTTTTTTCTCAATAGACTTTGTTTTATTGCTTATGACTTAATGATTTGATATTATAACCAATGAAACCTTTGTCTTGCAGAAAGCATTTCCATGATTATTAAAACGACAACCAAGTCAGAAGAGAAGGCTGATACTTTTCTGTGTGCCCGGAATGAAACCCAGGGCCACGTGCACACCAGGCAAACACTCTACCACCACACTATAGTCCTGGCTCCAAGAAAGGATAGTTCAGGCTTCTGGAGCTAATGATGCACAGGTGGAGAAGAGGGAGTCATCCCTTAGGACCATGGGAAAGAGGCAGAAGAGAAGTTTCCAAAGAGTATTATCTAGGAGTGGCTGAAGATTCAGAAAGTCTGGCCTCTTAAATTCTGTACACCTGGACCTGTCCCCAAAAAGGCTGGTAAAAATAGCTGGCAGGCTTCAGCCTTCCCTCACAGGAAGGATGAGGGCTAGACTGGAGGAAGAGAGCCTCCAACAGGGATGCAAAACGGCCGCATGAGAGATGGCTGACTAAGCTTCCAAATGGGCCTCAGAGGTTTCCAGATGTTTGTGGACTCTGTACTCAACACGCCAAGGCAGGAGGAATAGGAATTGAGGGGCTGGAGAGGACCTGGGGCGGAGGAGGGCAGTGACTCACCGCTGACTTCCCTTGAAATGCCTTGCTGTCTGGTACCAAGGTGCTGGTGAACTCCTGCTGCCGGCCGCTGTAGACATGCACGAACCTCACCGTGTCCTGTGTGTTTGCCAGAGCAAAGGACAGGAAGGCCTCAAAGGGTTTGCTCAACTTGCTAGCCTCAGTAGTCAGTAAGACCACACAGTACCTGCACATGAACAAGAGAGGAGGTTCTATAACCAGTCCCAGGGCAGGACCAGAATCAGCAGTGGCTGCTGAGGGCAAGAGGAGGAGGTGTTGTCCTACAGAGCAAACATACCCTGCACGAGGGAAATGCTGTCTCTAGAGGACACTTCCAAGTTGTCAGTGACCTGCTCCCTTTCTAGATTGGTAATATTGTCCCCAGACCAAATTCCTCCACAGCATCATCATCATCATTTTTTGAGTCAGGGTTTCATCAGCTAGCCTTGCTAGCTTTGAACTTGGCATCCTCCTGCCTCAGTCTCCTCAGTGCTGATTTAAAAATTTTATTATTTTTATTTTTTTAATTTTTAAAATTTTTTGGTCTGTTTGAGACAGAGTCTCCCTGTAGCCTCAGCTGTCCTGGAACTCACTATGTAGACCAGGCTGGCCTTGAACTCAGAGAGATCTGTCTGCCTCTGCCTCCCAAATGCTAGGATTAAAGACGTGTGCCACCACGCCCAGCCCTTATTTTTATTTCATGTGTATTCGTGTATTGCCTGCATGTATGTGAGCACACCCATGTCATGCAATGCCCGTGGAAGACAGAAGAGACTGTCGGATGCCCTGGAACTGGAGTTACGGACAGTTGTTAGTTGCCATGTGGGTGCTGGGATTCGAACCCGGGTCGTGTCATGCAATGCCCACAGAAGACAGAAGAGGCTGTCAGATCTCCTAGAACTGGAGTTATGGACAGTTGTTAGCTGCCATGTGGGTGCTGGGATTTGAACCTGGGTCTTCTGCAAGAACAGCCAGTGTTCTTAACCGCTAAGCCATCTCTCCAGCCCCTGAGTGCTGATTTAAACAGATGCACAACCATGCCCAGACTAGGAATTTCTTTCAAGGAAATGTCACTGGATTGTTGAGGCAGTGACAGTTTTTTATTTTGGTCTTTTGAAACAGGGTCTCTTTGTGACCCCAGCTGGCCTGGAACTCACTATGTAGACCAGTCTGGCCTTGAACTCACAGAGATCCACCTGCTTCTGCCTCCCAAGTGCTAAGACTACAGAAGTGTGCCACCATGCCTGGCTTAGAGAGGCTTTTTAGAAGCCACCTGTCCTGGTTCTCCCCCCACAGGGAGGACTGGTGGAATCTATCTTAAACCAGAGGTGACTGAGCCTCGTTCTGAAGAGGTGTCCTTTTCAAGGCTCTAGTGGAGGACTGGCATTCATTCCTCATTCTCCCAAACCTTCACTGAGCACTTTAGTATATGCTAGGTAAGACTGACAGCATCCCTACCATCACTCTAGTGGAGAAGCCAGGCATCAAATAAACAGATCAACCAGAAATGACAAGTGTGGGAAAACAAAAGGAGGGGACAGAGTGGAATGGAAGGCATCCTCACCAGATCAGGTGGTCAGGGAAATGGCACCTGATAACTGAGCAGAGCCCCGAATGAAGTGTTCCGTGTGAGGAAATGGGCGCAGAGCATCGCAGGCAAGGAGCGTGAGCAGGGAAACCTGGAGCGGGAGAGTGACGTGATCCAGTTCTGCTTCTAAAGAATACTGGCAGGTGTGTGGAGAGACTGGAGGACAAATGGCCTAGAGAGGAGACTGTGGGAGATGTGGAGGACGGGACCACTTAGGGAGTCAGTTCTCTCCATCATGTGGGTCTGAGGAGGTTGCCAGGCTTGGGGTGTCTTTACCTGCTGAGCCATCTCCTGTCCCTCCTCCCCCGATGATTTTTTTATTTTTAGAAAGGGTCCAGCTGGCCTGGAACTCACTATGTAGACCAGGCTGGCCTTGAACTCAAAGATCCGCCTTCCTCTGCCTCCCGAGTGCTTGGATTAAAGGCATGCGCTACCATGCCCAGTTTAGACTTTTTTTTAATTAATCAATTTATTTTTATTTTATATGAATGCTTTGCCTGCATGTATGTAAGTTTAACTAGCCCATGGAGACCAGAAGGCATTGGATATGGACAGTTGTTAGCTGCCATGTGGGTCCTAGGAACCAGATCTGGGTCCTCTGCAAGAGCAGCCAGTGCTCTTAACTGTTGAGCCATCTATCCACTCCCCCCTAAACATTAAAAATATTTTTGTGATTTATTTATGTGTCTGAACGTTTGCCTGCATGTATGCATGTGTACCGGTGTCATGCAATGCCCACAGAGGCCAAAAGAAGGCGTCAGATCCCCTGGAACTGGAGTTCTAGACAACTGTTAGCTGCCATGTGGGTGCTCAGAAGAAAGACACATCTGAGACTATGGATATGGGCTCCTCAAGGGAGAGCCACAGAGAACGAGACATACCCAAGTGTGGGTACAGGCTCTTTAAGGGAGTCACCCAATTCCTTAAACAATATTTAGTTATATTTTCCAATTACATTATCAATATTATCCATTTTCAGGCCAGACCTAAGGATATAGGGCTATAATCTCACTTGTTGGGGAGGTTGAGGCGGGAGGATCAAAAGTTCTAGGTTAGGGCTGGGAGAGAGAGGAGGGAGAGAGGGAGAGAGGGAGAGAGGGAGAGAGGGAGAGAGAGAGAGAGAGAGAGAGAGAGAGAGGAGAGAGAGAGAGAGAGAGAGAGAGAGAGAGAAGAGAGGGGGGGGAAAAGGGTAGTAAGAATATAAGAATATATTATACAGCTAGGTGTGGTGGTGCACACCTTTTATCCCAGCACTGGGGAGGCAATGGCTGGTGGATCTCTGTGAGTTCGAGGCCAGCCTGGTCTACATAGTGAATTCCAGCCCAGCTGGGGCTACAGAGAGACCTTGTCTCAAAAAAACCAAAAATAAAATAAAAAGAATGTGCTGGGCATGGTGGCACACGTCTTTAATCCCAGCACTCAGGAGGCAGAGGCAGGCGGATCCCTGTGAGTTCAAGGCCAGCTTGGTCTACATAGTGAGTTCCAGGACAGCTGGGGCTACAGGGAGATTGTGTCTCAAAAAAGACCAAAAAGAGAAAAAAGAAAAAAAAAGAAATCTGGAGCATGAAAACTTCTAAGAAGGTCCAAGTGGCTATTCGATGCAGTTCAAGTTAAG